AACTCCATGTCACACACATCACATGATATTTCTCCCTCTGATGGAACCTCCTCACAGAGTTACAGTCCTTTGAAGGCGTCTCCTCTCCTCCTCCTCCTCCTCCTCCTCCTCCTCGGAGGCATGTCAGGACAGCAGTCTCACCTGATTAAGGGTGTAAGCTCCGTGGAAGATGATGGGTGGCAGGAACAGATTGAAAAGGAACTCGGGATCAAAGGTCTCCTGTAAAACACAGATCAGTTGTGTTGGTGAGTGGCAGCGCTCCGTGGGGAGGTGAGGTCTCCGCTTAGCGAATGTGACAGACTGACAGACAGATATTACGCAACCGTGGTTCACTTCAGCGCCTCTGTTTTGGCAGCTCTTTTTTCCCTTTGGATCCCCAATGTCACAATAGTCTCTGGGTACCGTGACAACCTTATCCGTCCTCTCTTTGCAGGAAAAACAATATTCCACATTGGTAGTAGTAAAAAACAAAGTGTGACAATGCAGGCTTTTTTTACCCACCCACGAACGAAGAGTTAGCAACCAATGTGTGTATACAAATAATCTCCTTTAAGCTTAAAGTCTAATTTACCTATAATATAATTACTATCTACTGCAATGGGGAGAAAAGCGTATTAAAAAGTAAGTGAGAAGTCGACCTGTTAACATAGAGGGAAGAACAACAGAACAAAGAAGGAGAAGAAGACCCTTTATCACCAAGGGATATTATATACACACAGTAGGGCTGCTCGATTATGGCAAAAATCATAATCCCGATTATTTGGGTCAATAATTGTAATTGCGATTATTAAATGCGATTATTCATTGACTTTGAAAACATCCATTTATTGGAGAATTATTTTTTTAACAGTATGTTTTTAACAGTTGATTACCCTGAACTTAAAGTATAATTCAACTGAAAAAAAAAAAATTCATATTAATAATAAAAAAAATATCGTTTTATTTCGATTACGTTGTTTTCGTAATCGTTGCAAGCCATAATCGTAATCGCGATTAAAATACGATTAATTGAGCAGCCCTAACACACACACACACACACACACACACTGAAAAGGTAAGAGTAAATGACTCTTCCCACCAAAACTGCCTGTTACCAGCAGGTCATTAAATGGAGTTGAAAGAATAACTCGTAGCACAATCTGGAAACCATGTTAAAAAAGAAGCTAGAATTTATAACTAATTTTCTCCGTTTCTAAATCTTTTCCCTTTTCCGGCATATTAATAACTTTTCTGTGGCGGAACTATGAAACAGTATATATCTTTTGGGGTTTGGAAAACTTCCCTAAACCCGCTGCCCCTTACGGCAGCCTGAGCTCATGAAGTCCGCAGGCCCAGACACCAACAGTAAGCCTTCTTTTGTGGCGACCAATCCTGACGCTCACATCTCGTCGCTGCTCCT